CCGCCCCACCGCCCCCGCCCGGCCCCGCGCGGCGCTCCCGTCTCGCGGCCGCGGCGCCCGCCAGCGCCTCTCCTGCCTGCGCTCCACTTGGTACGGCCCAGCGCGGGGATCATGGCGATTGATGGTAAGTAGGCCAATAACGGGCTCCTCTCGCCCCGAACCGCTTCCTCAGCCCCCTCCTCTCCCTCTCCTCCTCTTCCCCCGGGGGCGGCCTGTCCCCCCCCCCCCCCCCCCCCCCCCCCCCCGCCTCTCCCATGGGGGGCTGCAGCGGAGGGGCTGTTTCGTTGTGTGGGGGAGAGGTGAGTGTCGCCGCTCCCTCCTCCCGTCTTCGTGCCGGAGAGCCGGGAAGGGGTAAATAATCCCTTGGCACGGTGGCCGGCATCCTTCCTCCTCCTCCTCCTCCCTCTTCCCCGCCACCTGCCCCAGGGATGCCGGGCGCGCGGCTGTGGGCGCCGCGGAGGGGACCCAGGGAGGACGGAGCCATCCTCTCCCGTGCCGTGAGCCGCCCTTGCTCCGGTGAGGAGGCGGGGGCGGGCGGCTCCCCCCCCTGCCCCGGGGCCGGCGGTGGGGCCGGGGCTGTGCCGCCTCTGCCCGCCGCCGGGTCCGGGACCGCTGGGGCGAGGAGGTGTCTCGGAACAACCCGCACCCTGGGGGTAGGTGGGTGCGGGTTGCCGAAGGTGCGCAGCCTTCTCCGTCCTCCCCGGAGACAGACTTTGCCAACTGCTCTGAAACTCATCGTCCCTCCTGGCCCTGAAGTCTCTGAAAACTGATTTCCCCAGGCGGGGGAGGTCCCCTGCTCTTTGCCGGTTGCCCAGCTGCCGCTAAGAGCCAACAAGCTGTGTAGAAGCTTGTGTCCGCAGATCTTTCTAGTCATCACTTAAAAACAACAACAACAAAGGCGTGAGGTGTACTACACACTTGTTGGGTTTGTTTGGAGATGGTCGTCTCCAAAGGCAGGGCTTTGTTTCGAAACCTTTCCTCTCGATTCTGAGAGCAATTTTACACCTCCTTAAAAATCCTTCAAAAAGAATAAATCCTATAACTTTATTTCCAGCAAAAGGTGGTCTTAAGGTATGCTGCATCCTCGCATGTTTCGTGATGTTTCTTTCTGAAAGCATCTGTTGTTATAACTTAAAGTATCTAGGAAAACAGTGAGGGGGAAAAAACAAACTGTTCTTGTTTGTTTTGCGTGTGGGATGCTTCTGTGCTGTCAGTTTCCTTGAATTAGTAATTCAGGCCTCTATAAGGAGAAGTTGCACTGCGCAAGCAAAGCTGCGTGTTCACTCTGTCTTGGAAGCTGCACACACCAGGAGTCTAAGTTGGCCAGCTTTAAATTGGCTAGGTTCTTTTCTGCTGAAAAGCCCTCTTAATATTATCAGGAAGATAGCAAAAATTTCTGCTGGGTCTGCACTTTTTACATAACTCAAGCTCAGAAAAGAAAACTGTCAGTCCTTCAAAATCTCTCTCTGTTTTCATTTTAGGCTGCGTTATCCCAGAAATCTGTGAGAGTTTGTTAGATCTGAAAATGTGGAATTCCTGTTTAATATGTTAGAGGAGTTAGAGTATTACTTCTGAAAAGTTAAAGCAAATACTCATGAATGAATTAAGCAATCTAGCCTTTGAAAAGAATGCAACACTTCTCATTAGGGCCAGACTTTAGAAATAGCCCAGCTGTCTTGTAAATGCTTATGTGAAATTGCCAAAATGGGACTTAAGCTCTTGACAAAATTGGGTGCGTAGTTGACAGTTAAGAGCAAGATGGAATTAAAAACAAAATAAAATCCAATCACATAAGTGATCTGCTAGGTGTTGATTTAGTACTTTTCCTGAAGACAGAAAATGCGATGTATTTTTCTGCTGTAGTCTGTAGCAGGCATGCAGCATTCTCTTTGTTTTCAACCAAATAGCTGATTGCTGTAGGTTTGTTAGTAGGTATTGCAATTGTTATTCCTCATCTTGGTGTTCTCTCCATCCTGTTTGTGCAACAGTACCTTGCTTTGACTGTTTAGCAGGACTATTTCCTGGCCAGCAGTGTTACAAAATATGAGTTTGATTTGGGTGAATACTCACTCTCGAAGTCAGGATCAAACCACAGGGCTCCTAGTCTAAAGTGTCAAGATACAGAAGTTACATTGTATCCTAGTAAATTTGTAAATTTATTTAGTTGAGTAAATAGGGAAAACAGTTTGCTCATTTTTAAAGACATGACAGTTGTCTAGATTTTTTTGGTAAAGGCATGGGAAATAAGCAAGATGGAAAACTTCTGATTGAAGAATAAATATAAAATAGAATAAAGATAAAAGCTACTTCAAAGCAGAGCATATACAGTTATATGTGAAGAGTGTGCAAAATTAAAAGCTCAAATTGAAATGGGATTTGTTTGCTGCAAGAATTTAAGTGCTTTTGGCTGTTCTTAAAAATCTGTAATTACCGTTTCCAGTGTCGCTTTGTCAGCATAACAGTTTACATCAATTCTATCGCTAAACTCCAAAGTTTTTAGAAAAGTGACACTTTTTGTATGAAGTGTCATAGAGAACCAGGGAGCCATTGGCCATGGCCAATGACCGTTGTCGCTTTGGTCCATGACAATGCTTTTTTACTTTTCCTTTATGATCACTGGCAGACTTTGAAGAGACGAGTATTCTTCATGTGACCAAGTTGGAAGCCTTAATTTAGTGATTCTTTTTCATTAGAAAGTGAATTTCATGTTAAAACATGTACTTTTTAATTTCTTTGTAAAGATACCAGGTATATAGTTTGCATAGGTCAGGCAATCTCAATCTCATATTTGCTTGGAAACAGCAGAGGGCAAAGTTGGAAAAAGTTCTGGTTCAAATGAGATTAAAGACTTGCATTTACAGTTCTTATTTCTGTGTATTTCTCTTCTAAAACGAAATTAGTATTAGGTAGGAGATCTATTTTAAAATGCTTAATACTTCCACTTTTTCCTAGGAAATTAATCTAATACAGAGCGTGTCAGAACAGGGAGGATGGCAAATACGTAGAGAGTCAGGCCAAACTAGAAGCAGCAGTAAGCCCAGAGTGGTAGCAGTCTGTGATTAAGATCCTCTCACCTGTAGCTGCCTGGGCCTGGGGTCTTGTGGCAGTTTGGTGGGACAGGGAAGAGAGAGAGTTGAGGATTCACTTCTGAGAATCCTTCAACATCACCATGGTAATATTCCTCATGGCAGCATTTATTTGATTTCTTTATGCTGCTTTTCCTCTTTTGAGCAAAAGCAGAACTTCGGCACCTTTGGACCTTTGAGGTCTGGGTGAGGAGCTAGCAGTGGAAATTACGTTCCAATTGCATGGAGGAGGGAAAAGAAATGTAAAGGTCGTGGTGCGTTGTTTTGTAACCTAAGGCAGAATGGCATATATTGGATATCCTCATCCTACTTCTACCAGGTTTTTGTGCTGCACTTCAACATGCTGTAATGTCATATAGGCTATGCAAAAATGTACATTTCTCAAGGAGGGGAATATATTTAGAGACAAACCTGTTCAAACTAGGTTAATTCTTTTTGAATTTAAGCTCTTCCTTATGGTTTCCATTGTGAGGAGTTTAGTCTTAAGAACTGAGAAGTATTAAAGAGAATAATGAGCCATACAGATAAAAGGTATCTAGTGGAGAAGAAAGAGTTGCAGGGTGATGCTGTCATCTGTTAAGTTATTGCTAGAGTAATGAGGCTAATGAACATAGCTTCCCATATTTTCTCCCTGTCATCCTACCAGCGTAACACTTGCCCTTCCTGAGGTAATATGCCAATGCCCTCATCGTGTGTCGAGGCTTTTAAATACCTTTCTTTTTATCCCTGCATCTCCTGAGTCTCTGAAGTGTCCTGAGGTCTCCAATCTTGTCTCTTCTGACAAGATTGTCCTCCCTCTCTTTCCTCATCTGCCAGCTGTTTGGATGGGAGCAGGCAGCTGCAGCTGCGAGTGCTGTGCATGGATTTATCGGCTGGTTGGCTGTCCCTGTGTTTTGGTGGGGTCTGTGTTTGTATTGTGTTTGACTGTTGACTTTTTATGAAACATAGTATCCTAAAATCATTAAGTTCTTAAAACTTTCTGTCAATTTTAGCTTAGATTAGCCAGTGAATTTGTAAGCAATAGAAGGATGGGGCAGGAGATGAACTGTTTCATTATATAACCCTTGTTGCCTTGGGAAACAAAGACAAAAATTTCTGAACGAACCTACTTTTTGTTTATGGATATAAGAAGAGAGGATTTAGAATGCTGCTTCATATAGGTTACATGTAAACTATACCCAGCTGCAAATTTCCAGAATCCAGAAAAAGAAACAGAAGAGCATTGAGCAGTTCTTAAGTAGGAGTGTCCTATGTGCGGCTCATAGGTTGAATCTGGCCTAGGGAACAGTTTTATCTTGACTTCCAAGTTACCTGAGATATTCAGGTGGCACTGCAGCATGTACTAGAAGGGTGTAAGGTGATAGGGAGATCCTCAAGTTAGCACTGACCTGAATTGGCCGTAATGCTTCTGAGTGCAGGTTGGTGCAGCCAGGGCAGGGGTTGAGCAGCAGCAGTAGTATTAAATAAAGGCTAAACGTAAGAAGCTGTATTTTGTACTTAGGCCCACGTTTAAACACGTTTGTTAAATGTGAGCTGGATCAAATGTCAGGGTATCAGATTTGATCAGCCACACAGAATCTGTTTAGTGCTGTCTTATGCTCATTCGCTGTCTGTTGTGTAAACTATTTAGTTAATGCTACCTGGTATTCATTTTTTTTATTGTTATTGTAAGGATGATTCTCTGCATTATTTGCTGCTGCCAGTAAAACCTTGTTGGATTTGTGTTGGATCCTAGTTGGATTTGTGTTACATCATCATCACTGTAGTGTTATAGATCTGTTGAAATAAAGCAAGCCATTAGGTCTCTATCACCTTTTAGGTAATAGAGTGGGCTACCTTTAAAAAAAAAAAATATTAACTAACCTCTAATGCTTTACAGACTTCTTTTTGACAAGCTCCTAATGGGCTGAGATGGAACTATCATATTGGATATAAGAGCAATTGATGTGTTCGGAGTGAAATTCTTCTTGAATTATTTTCATTTTTAATGCTTAGCACTTTTGCAAATTGGAACTCTTGGCGTTCAAGATGGGCATGC